ATTTTTCTACAAGAAAGGCTACAAAGTGTGAACGAAGTCTTATTAATTTGGAGCATAGACATTAAACTTTTTTTTTTTTTTTTGCAAGAGTCATAATTCACATTTGGCCTATGGCCAAAGCAGTGAACTTTATCACCCAGCCTTGGCATGTGCAGATAGATGGTCCCTTCTGTCTCTTTTGCCAGTTATTGCTCATGTTGCCAGGAAATCTTAATCATGCTGCTTGGAAATGGTTACTGGGCCATCCACCTGCTGCCAAGTTATTCCACTGCATAAGGATTCCGATTTATCTGCAGCAAACAGGCTCTTAGCTCTCTCTAACACAGGAAAAAGGGTCACTGTGCTAAGGCCACCCAAGGGGGCCATATGGTGGTAGGAGTTACCTCATCACTATTGCACTGCTGTTGGTGCAACCCTATTAATAACCCTGAAGCTTCACATAGATTTGGCATAACTAAGTCTTCCAAAAGGAAATGTGCAATATAACCCTAGAGTGAACCACAAAATAAGAAAAATGTACTCTTTCATAATGAGTCACAGACAGGTTAGGGTTGGAAGGGAGCTTRAAGATTATCTAKTTCCAMCCCTCCTGCCATGGCCAGGAATGCCAATCACCAAGGTCTGGAGGCTCAGGGCTCCAGGGTCTGTCCAACCTGGACTTGAACTCTTCCAGGGATCAGGCATCCTCAACTAGGCAACCTCTTCCAGTGCCTCACCACCCTCCGAATTTATTCCTACTATCAAATGTAAAACTATCTTCTTTCAGTTTAAAACCACTGCCCCTTGTCCTACCACTATTTGCCCATATAAAAAGTCCCTCTCCCTCCATTTTATAAGCCCTAATAGGGTATCAGAAATCTGCAATGAGGTCTCCCCTGAGCCTTCTCCAGGTTTAACAACTCCAACTCTTTCAGCCTGTCTTCATRGGAGGGGTGCTCCAGCCCTCTGAGCATCTTTGTGGCCTCCTCTGGACCCACTCTAACAAGGCCMCATCTTCCCTGGGCTGAGGATCCCAGAGCTTGATGCAGTATGGTTTTATTGATACATATTTTCCACTAAAACAATGTATATGTATTTAAAAATAATTCTAGCCTGCTCTAGTTTGAGAGAAAAGGGAAGACAATCAGTTGAGCAGATAGATTGCAGTGCCACATTGCCAGAACTGTTCTGTATGTTCATGTTTCTCCAATGTCATATGAGTTCAAACACTATTCAGACTGCAGCAATCAGAAGAATGTAATGCTCAAGTCATATGAATTGCAATCCACTGGTGAATTTAAGCTCCTCATTAAGATGTTCAATCACTTGCTTTAGTAGAACTATTGAAAGTTGTTTCATGCATGGATAGTTCCTTTGTTAGTCGGGTTCCTGTTATTGTCTCTTCACAGGAAAAACAAAGGGCCTTCTGTGAGTTAAACTATGGTTATATTTTAGACCCTGTAGTGAAAATTTATGTCTGAAATTATATTTGTAGATTTTTCCAGGTGTCAAAAGGAAAAATAACTTATTTGGATTGTGGAAATATTGGTAGAATTCTAAGACTACTGAGAGCAAAGCAAATTTTAAACACAGAAAATGGCAGCAAATAGTTCTGGARAACTTATTCTGATAATATAATAATATAGATCATTAGTGTAACTTGTTAGTACCGTAACATTTGAACTTCCAAATTCCAGGACTTATTGGACAGTTACTTTGGTATTTTATAACATACTCTGTTTAAATGATCTAAGTAGTAGTGATGTGACTCTCTAATTCAGAGGTGATCAATAAATACATTGAAGTAAATGAGAAATATTAATGTCTTTTAGATTTGTTTCTATGGGCTAACTTCTCTATTCCTACACTTTAAACAGCTTTTGCATCTTCTATGTTTTTTGTGTTTGTAGCAGTTTTTCAGCTTCAGGTAGAAATTACTATTTTGGTAGGTTTTTTTATCTGATAGGGTATACTCTACACACTGTGTTTTGTTGAGGAACTTTATATAAACTTTGATATATATATTTGCTATACCAAATATATCTTTTATCTGTAATACACTTGGGGAATAAAGAAATCATAACAGCTCTTCAGATTTTTGTATAATCCATTCCTATGGCCTATGCATAATACCAAGGTGATAATAGCACTGTAGTACTTCAAACAACTAAGATGTTGCCTTCTCTTTTGGGCAAAAAAGGTGCAGCTCAACTGTCAGCTATGAGACTGTCAGGTAAGAAGTGCTAGCTCAATAGCATTTTCATGTCAACTACTGCATAAATCTGCACAAGGAAGTAGAATAATAGGAAATATTCCCACCTAGTTTTCTGTTTACAGGAGAAGAATCAAAATAAATAAGAGCTTATGCTGAAATATTTTTCACATGCTTGTAGAAAGAAACATCTTGGCTCAGCTTCAGTGTTGTTATTTTTAGATGCTTTTTTCTCGTTCTGAGATGCTGCTTTTAGATAATGAACCTTTGCCAAAAATGCCAAACTTATGTCCTGCTATATAAATGTACAAGAAAACTATGGCATTTCAGAAACCTTCTGTGTTTCTTTAAGAATAACCCTGTATATGTTTTAAATTTGGTGTTGTCTTTGCTTGGTAAWGCACTCTATCTTATTCTACATAATTAAGAATCTACTATATATATTTTGTGCATAACTTTGTCTAAAATGTTTACATACACTTATCTAAACTGATTTACCTGCTGCAGTCTAAGAACTATAAGTTCTGATTTTGTAATGTGATTTCTATCACTGCATAGATGGATAAAATTACACAGAAAAAATTGAGCAGTTGTTTATTTTCTGCTTACAAATGAATGAGTAGGACTTTTACACAGTGATTGTTCTTTTAGAGAATGGCTCTCTCATGGGTAATTGCTTGTGCTAGAATTATGTACCAAATACTCATCCATGAGAAGGCTTTACACCTCCTGGTTGCTGTGCTCTTCTATGCTGCAGTTCTTGCTAAAGGTAGAAGGGATATCAAGGTAAAATGGACACAATGCYCAGTGAAATCTGCCTCCACCTGACAGCATTAAAAGGACTCTTATGTGGAGGTAAAGACTTAGCTCCTTTCCTTAGCAGAACATTGCTGACAAATCAAATGGTTACAGAAATAAGGCAAGGTTTTGAGACCTGGGAATTACATTATCTTCTGGCCAAAGCTGGTGTGGCTGAGGTTGGATTAGAGAAGGATAACAAGGGACTGAAAGATGCAGAAATATATGTTAATATAAATGGACAGTTGGCATCAGAATTGCATTGACTTAAAACTAGTAAGAGATGGGGGTCTGAGTTCAACATATTGGAATACCAGGTTCTTTAGCCTTTTAACTACTCCCTGTAGCATATCTAGTAAGGCTGTGAGTAGCCTCTGGAAGAAAATACAGTATTTTTTTTTCATTATTAGGAATAAACCTTCTCTCCTTCTTGAATCAGTCGCTTACCTTTCCCTAGTATGAGTTGAGCATATCTGCTAGTGCCAGTATGACATGTGACCTTTTGGTTTTGGCCTGKAAAGTTTTAAACTGCAGAAGCAATGAACAAACAAGTCCATGATACAGGAGTCCTAGGTCATGAGGGGAAAGGGGGATGGAGAGAGTGAAGTGACTGACCTTGCTATAAATGGTGCCACAGGTCGTGGGGGTAGGAGAATGTGAGCTGCATGAGGCAGGACCTGTGACTGTGAAAGAGTGGGGGGACAGTAACTTCCTCTCTCTGCCTTGTGTATCTGTGGTGAACTGAACTTTGACCACACAGTGGAATCTGAATAGATCCAAGCAAAGATGATGTGAGAAGTCTCAAACTAAACTTAGTGCTCTGATTTTTAGTTCTAACAGAAATACAGAATTTGCTCAAGGTTTCTAAATAGCTTTCTAAGGTTTGGCAACTAGGAAGGGTGTTGCAGGCTTTGTTATTTGGTAAACCAGGCCAAGTTATGGMATTAATTGAAATTTCTCATGGTGCTTTCATTCAAGTATTTTAACATTGCTCAAAGTTCAACCCAAGGTGAAATTTAATGTGCAGAATCAAAGAAAGGTGGTYTTGCCTCCTGTAGATTGAAATCACTATGCCTATTGCATAGTGATATAAATAAATAAATAATAAATATAAAGCATTTTTATAGCAAATAGTTTATAGCAAACAGTTTCTCAAACAGTTAATATAAATTAACATAAATACAAACCATAGCTGCTGTAAGGGGCCATACTTTTGTGAATGTGCATATATTGCTTTATTTCCAGCCAAGGAAAAAAACTACATTTATCTTCTCCAGACTCAGAGTATTAGAAACGCAGTTAGATTAGAAGGAAAAATAATGCTTGCTTTGTATATATCAATGATGAAGTCAAACATGGAATTGTCTTTGTCAATCACATCTGAGAGGTTTTAGGCCGTTGTTTGATGCACTGTCTTACTCAACAGTCACACAGATACTGACATAACATGCAGTGTCACAAATGCATTGGAAATGGTTGTAAAACCATGCCAATGATAAAGATCCTTTGCAGTACTGCTCTACAAAACATACTGCAGATGTATCCCTTTCACTCAAAGATCTTYATCCACTTCAGATGAAAGGCAGTCTGCATCAGGCAACTCAGAAAACGAAAGCTTAAACACTGTCAGAYACCTGAAAATTTTGATCCATACTAGGACAGTGAATCTATTGCACAGAATACTTGCAGCCCAAGAAGTTTATAACAGTATCAAGTCAKTGAATATTTTCAAATTAATACATTTTAAAATTAGCATCAGAAATTTTTTTAAAGGTYTGATTACCTTAGTTCTGTAGTCTCAAAATGTAAGGGTTTCCACTGGKAAATATTTGTTATAATTACGAAAAACTACATTTTCCAAAAATACAGACAGATATAAATGTCATATTTTAAGGAACATAACACCCAAATGCAACATGCCAAAGACTAGATAGTCAATACTACTAAATTTTTACAGCATAAACATTTTTTAAAAGTTCATGATCACTATTTATATTTGATAGTATATTACCTTTTTTCTTTCCTTCATATGTATTTGCTGASACGATGATACAAGAAAGCAGTAAAAATGAAAGAAGTTGCAAACTTTGCATTTTTTCTTTCTTTGAATGAGAGTTCTGCTAAATTCTGYCAAGAGATGGGAAAAGGAAAGAATTAGCAATGCTTTGCAAGAAATTCTTTGCCCATTAATCATTAACCTTGATTTCTTCTGTCCCCTGCTCTGGTTTTTCCTTTTATGGAAGTGAAATTGGAATTTGCCTGTTTCAAACCTCTTCATTTTAATTTTATGCCACTTGTAGCAGAAATAATTTGGAGCTGGATCCTCCTACCTTGCTCAGCAATGCTCAGCTCTAAACTCAGACTCGAGGGCATTTGTTCTCTGAAATACTGCTAAAGGCCAGGGTAACCAGCTTGAATTCAGCTGGTCAACAGCTTGGTCTGAGCACATTACAAAATAAGGGCAAGACCTGAAGGTTAATTTAAATATTTTATTAACACAGACAWATCTTAGCAAGGGAATCATCAAAATTTTGTATCTATTAAAAGCTTCTCTTATTTTGGCCATTCAATCAGTACCAGATTTTGGATAATCACAAAGTCYTTCCTTWCAAATTAAGTGAACAATTTTTAACWCATAAGACATTTACTAATACAGCACAATTAACCAACTTCTGTCTCCACTTTCAGTAAAAGAATCATAAGGAAGTGTAGGTAGTAAATGTAAGAGTCATTTCAGAGAAGTTTCTACTAAAATGATACRGCTTATTGTAGAAATCTGAGCAGAGTTTTAATGACAGCACTGTGTGTATGTATGCAACAGGAGGTACATATTGCAAAGTGTGACAGGACAACAAGTACACTTGGCTGGGCAGCAAGGACTGCACCCAGCTGGATGTCACACGTGAGCAGCACAGCATGCTGTCCTCTGCTCCGGGGTGGCTTCAGCCTGCAKCATCACAGTTTCCCTCATCAGTCAATGGTGTTGAAACGCCCATTTTATAGGAATGGTTCATTTTAAAGGAACACRGTGCCAGCTAGGATGTAGCCATGGCAGCACAGGCCTTAGCAGAGGCTGCAAATCCACCTGCATTTCCACTAATCATTGCATTACCACTTCATGTGGGTTAATGCTGCAAACCTCCACCTGCAAACTGAGCAAGTACCTCAGCCAGACAGGTGCACTATACCTCACTCACATGCTTTGACACCATTGTGGAATGTTCCTTAGAAACAGAAATAGAAATTGCTGGTGTGATTTAGCACAGCCTTGCAGTGAACTTAGAATAATTTGGGCTGAAGATTATGTGAAGATGACAGATGTGATTGACAGGTTGAATGGTGACACTAGCCACAGTAATCAAGCAAGTAGAGAGCATTTAGAGGAGAAAGATTGCGAGCTCCTTTCTGCAGGTGGAAATTGTTCTGGAACAAAGATTTGTCAGGGACCAAACTGGTTGTTGGATCTTTGCTAAGAAATTGCCTGAAAATAAAGTCTATAGGGATCAGTGTTTKGATTTACTTCTCTCGATAGAACCCATGTAGGAAACCAGGATGACATTATGAGCATCTTATGAAGAATTGTTTAAAGTGGTAACAAAAAAACTGGGAAAAAAATGTGGAGGAACCTGCCTTCCTTTGGCAGATTTTACTTCATTTGGCAGTTCTGGGTCAGTTATTGCAAATATTTATTTGTCTTTCCAGTGTTCACAGAACATCAGCAATAATGGTGAGAGCACATAGCAGTWTTGTGGGAATAATTGTAAGGCATTTGAATGAGAGGTTTCACAGTGCATGTTGAGGAAGAGTTTATGTAGCACAAAATTGCCTGCTATGGCACATTAGTCTGCAGAGAGCAGATGTGATTTGTGTTCCAGAGGAAGGAGCTGCTCCCAATGGCCTCTAGAGCATTGTCACACRATGGGTTCCCAGAGTATGGGTTTGGGTTTTCTTTTCTTCTCCATTTGATTTACATGAGTAATTCCAATTACCTTTATTATCTGCTCATAAAGAAAAGAATGGGTCTTCTGCAAAAGTAATGATCATTAGAGGTAGGGAACTCCTGGTAAATAATTTTCCTGTGAATCCACATATTGAATTTATAACCTTTGCCATTTTCARCATGCTTATCTGGTCACTTGATAACTACTTTGCTTCATCTGCTCTCTCTCAGGTGGGTTAATTGCTGTTTGTATTGTTATTGTAGATATAATATTCTATGAACATATAACCTAAATTATTTTAGGAATTAAATATCCTGATGGAAAAAGCAAAAGAAGAAAGAGTCTTTGGCACATTATGAGAATAGAAAGAGTGGAGCCAGGTATTTACSAGAAGCGACTGTGAAATAGCTACTCAGAGTTCCTGGCAGCATGTTCCATCACTTACTCAAATGGCTTCTTTTCAGCCACATTTGAATCTGCATGAGGTGTAGTGAGTGGGAGCTGCAATATTCCACATGAAAATCATTGCAGAAAAATGCAAATCCTCTGAAAAGCGAAGATGCTGTGGGTCTTCATATTATTCCACTGGTTGATSGTAAGAATGGTGCCTGAGAGAAACTTGATACCCCTGGAACACTCTCAGTGTCCTGCCAGAGCCATGTGATCTCTAGGGCTGCTCTGCTGTAGCCCTGCACCACTGGCAGTGACAAAATGTACAACACAGGTACTAGAAAATCAGGGAACAGACATCTCAGGGACTATAAAGAAAGCTGGGAGGCTGATGTAGGAAAATGATGCCTGGAATATGCAAGCTACACTGTGTCCTGATATTACTTTCAAGAGTGAGTGGAAGATTTATTTTTCAGAATTGGATATGTTTGCTACTCATGCTCTGGGTAAGGAAAGTGGATAATTTGGTATTTGAAAAAACCTTGATTCTTAAGAAATGTTCTTTAAATTTAAGGTTTAAATATGGTTATGGTTAAATATATTAATCTTAAACTTTAAAGGAACCATTTAAAAAAAATGCTGTTCTTCAGATATGAGCTCTCTTTTCCATATCACCCAGCRTTTGCAATTACTTCATTTTCCGGATTGAAATCACTCATACCTACTGTAGTGATCTGGATTCTAAATTTAGAAATAGATATTCCAAACTGCTCTTCTGTAAAAAAAGACAGAAGAGCATGTTTTGTATTGCAGGGAGGTTACTGCTTTGCTAGCTTTACATGAAATAGAATCTTTTCTTAAACACACAGTGGCCAACCCCAAATCTGTAGCTTTATATCTAGTTTGCATATACTGTAAGGGGGCTTCATAACCTTCTCTCTTCTGCTGAGCTGCTGCTTCTACAATATATACYGAGGAGGTAGACTCTCAATCACATTCCCCATCTGCTTCTTGGCTAATGTTCCAATTGCAGTTAGACCTCTTGCACATATTCACATCTAAAATAAAATTGATGGTTTCACTGTTGGGAAGCAGCGTGTGACTAATGATGCATTGTACCATGCAAGTTTTTGTTTGAATATATCTTTCTCATCAAGTTAAATAAAGGAACACAGAGCAGAAATCTGTCAGGCAGATGCTCCTGCTTTTTTTCCTGAAACCACACTGTTTGTCAAGATGCTTTTCAATCACCTGAAGACCAGTAATGTTGTTGTACAAGATGTTCTTTCAGGTTTAGAAGAGATTTTATGGGCCAGAACTTCAGCTAGCATAAATTGGCTTCTGTGCAGCTCTAATGATTTTCACCAGCTGAGGATCCACCCTGTGTTCCCATAATAACCCACTAGCATCTGAAAAAAAGATTCATGTAATGGTTATGCTAATATATCTGAGGTTATAGAGCAAGAAAATTTTTATGTGGTTGAATTTTTAATGCAGTTTTTAAATCCAGGATTTATTCTGCCTGTTTTATCTTTTCTAGGATTTTTAATACCAAATAACTTTGAAGAGACACTTTTAGATTGACTTCTGTGTGTAGATTCATTGTCTATGTCAAACATACAGCAGCTGCATATGAGTCTGAAACTTCCTTTACAGCAATAGCTATTGAGCCATCAGGCTTTTCAGTATTAAATTCAAAACTAAATAATTGATCAGCAAACTTTATTTTCTGATATGAAAGAAAACTACTAATTTGCGTGAGCATAGTGCTGTGAAATATGAATTTCAATGCAAGATGCATTTCATACTCTGCTGCCCCCTGACAAGGTAGTCTTCTTCCATTACTCATCACCCAGAATATTATCTGACTTTCCTTGGAAGCACATTTAGGAYCAGGAATTGCATTTTGCAGTTTCAAGTTTTCCCACAAGTTTAGCAAAATTTGTATGTTTGTGTCTTTTAATAATTTTGGGAAAGCGCTGCACTGAGTAATTCTTATTATAAACAGCTGTAAACAAAGCAGAGAACCCAAATGCAACTGCCAAGCATAAATATAGTTGTACAATAAGTGGGTCATCTGCTTCTACTTCAAACTTYAAAAAAAGACAGTTTTAGTTTGTTTACTTCGATATTTGCAGAGAGCTTCTTGTAACAATGCACTGCTTGTTTAATTGCCTTAGAAGATTGCTCTTTCTTGGCTTCTGGGTCTGTCTTTCTCATGGAAACACTGTGTTCACGTGGAGTATGTCTCTGAAAGCTTGACAAATCAGAAAAGCACAGAATTGATGAACCAAATAAAAGGGGAGAACAAATCCCAAAACTTCTGGACTGCCCATGCTKTTCCATTCTGTGCAGAATCTTGTGTGTTTGCTTATTACCCTTGCCTCAAAATAGGTGAGGAGCTTGCCTGTTCCCTGCCTCCCATTACAAGCAGTTTTATTCTTCAGCAGACAGGACTAAATTTCTGCATGATTTTGYACTACTGGAAAGGGTAGTGGAGCTGCAGACCTTTAATCCACCTGCATTGTGTCTTATTTTGGATATTCACTGTTGTCAGTGTCCTATTTCGGGGATGACGTGTAAAAGTTTGCATTGATTTTTTTTTGCTGCTAAAGCAGCTTTTACATAGAGCTGTAACATGTAGGAAACGTTGCACATATCAGCACTGGGGTGTCGATAGATACAACTGTGAAGAGCAGATGTGCTTTTGGAAACCTCAGCGTGCCTGCTGAGAACATTTCCCTTCATTGGTCTGGGTAAGAAACAGCCAAACACGTGCAACAAAGCTCATTGGAAGGCTGAGATCCAGCCCAACCTCCTTCCCCCCTGA